AAGTCCCTCGGGGCTAAGGACTCAGAGGTCCTTAGAAAGGGTGTTCTGGGCCCAGCATGTGGGGTTGCGACCTCTCCTGACCCAGGTGCTAATATTAAGAGGCTACAGGGTCTGGGCACCGTGGTTCATGCCTGTAATCCCAGCACTGTGGGAGGACAAGGAGGGTGGATCACTTGAGGCCAGGAGTTCGAGACCAGCCTGGCCAACATAACAAAACCCTATCTCTACTAAAAATATAAAAATTAACCAGGCATGATGGTGCACACCTGTAATCTTAGCTACCCTGGTAACTAAGGCATGAGAATCACTTGACTAAGGCCATGCGTGGTGGCTCACGCCTGTAATCGCAGCACGTTGGGAGGCTGAGGCAGGTGGATCACAAGGTCAGGAGTTCGAGACCAGCCTGACCAATATGGTGAAACCCCATCTCTACTAAAAAAATACAAAAATTAGCAGGGCGTGGTGGCGGGCGCCTCTCCTGCCTCTGCCTCCTAACTAGTCTCAGCTATTAGGGAGGCAGAGGCAGGAGAATCGCTGGAACCCTGGAGGCAGAGGTTGCAGTGAGCTGAGATCGCACCACTGCACTCCAGCCTGGGCAACAGAGGGAGACTTCCTCTCAAAAACAAACAAACAAAAACCAAAAGATGCTACAGGGACTCTGGGTGTGGCCCATGTGGCTGATCATCCAGCCCTGGTCTAGATGGGTGGCGTAGGCCTGAAAGCGCCATGGAAGTTTTAGGAGCTGGTGCACTCAGCTTCGGGAGAAAGTGAAGGCATAGAAACGCTGGCCTCGTGGGGGCCCGTCTGAGTTCTGACTCTGGCCGTCCCTGTGAACACCACCTAGCATGCTAGGGCATCATTGGGCCCATCAGGAAGAGAGTGCTTTGTCAGGGTGGGGGTAGAACTGGATTTCCCACTACCTTGGGCACTTGAGGCTCATATTTGGGACTTTGGAGAAGCCGCTCATTTTCCCATTCTATAATGTAAACAAGAATAATCTAGATCCCTATACATTACCTCCTTTCATGTTCAGAAAGCCCTATAGGATAAGCACTACTCTTGTTGCCATTTCCCAGATGAGGAAACTGAGGCATGGAGACGTGGAAGAACTTTCCCTAGGTCATTGTAAGCAACATAAAGCATCTCTGTGTGCTGGGCCAGTGCCATTTCCACGCCATCACGGAGACCCCACTGCATGCCTAGCACACTCTGCAGAAGCCCCCACCTGCCTTTAGCAGCATAAGGCACTGTGTGCTCCATTTCTGGGGCTTAGAATGTGCGATCATTTTATGCCTGCAGTCACATCAGAATGAGGCCCAGGAGGCTGATGGGTTGCAGATTTCCATGCAATGGCGCGATCTCGGCTCACTGCAACCTCCACCTCCTGGGTCCAAGCTATTCTCCTACTTCAACCTCCCAAGCAGCTGGGACTACAGGCGTGCACCACAATGTCCAGCTCATTTTTCTATGTTTAGTTGAGATGGGGTTTCATCATGTTGCCCAGGCTGATCTCAAACTTCTGTCCTCAGGTGATCGGCTCGCCTCGGCCTCTTAAAGTGCTGGGATTACAGGTGTGAGCCATCGCGCTCGGCTGCGTGAACTTCTTGCATGTTTGCCTTCTCTGGAGGGTCTGGACTCGGAAGCTTCTTTCACACCCGCCCTGCAGGCCAATTCCGTAATGTACCGCCAGAGGGAGCTGCCCGCAGAGAACGGGAGCGCCTCACTCAGGCCCCCAGGAAGGCACCAAGCAGGACTGCCCTGGCCTCAGTTCACTTTCCTTCTTGAAAGTCACCCAAACTCAAGCAAAAGCTCCGATTCAGGAATAAATGGGGTTGTCTTACCCCAGCCAAGGGCTGAGGAACCTTGGGATTAAGGGTTTTAACCTTGGTATTAAGAATGGAAAGGAGGCCGGGCGCGGTGGCTCAAGCCTGTAATCCCAGCACTTTGGGAGGCCGAGGCGGGTGGATCACGAGGTCAAGAGATCGAGACCATCCTGGTCAACACGGTGAAACCCCGTCTCTACTAAAGCTACAAAAAATTAGCTGGGCATGGTGGCGCGTGCCTGTAATCCCAGCTGCTCAGGAGGCTGAGGCAGGAGAATTGCCTGAACCCAGGAGGCGGAGGTTGCAGTGAGCCGAGATTGTGCCATTGCACTCCAGCCTGGGAAACAAGAGCGAAACTCCGTCTCAAAAAAAAAAAAAAAAAAAAGAATGGAAAGGAGTCCGTCCTCCGAGTGCCCGTAGCACCCCGGAGAGCAGGCAGAGTGTCAGTCACAACCGGGGCTTTGAGTTACCGTCCCGGGCTGGAGTCTGGACCCTGAAACTTTCTAACCAGCGTGGCCTTGGGCAGAGCAGCCTGTGTTTAGAGTTTCCCATCTGTAATATGGCAATGAAAACCATGCCTGCTTTGCAAGGTTGCTGTTAGGATTAATTCTCTAGAGAGCCCCCAGAAGCCACTGTTGGGTTTGAGATGGTTCAAGGCCAGACCTTGCATGACAAGCGTGGGGACAGCTTTCCACAGGCCTCAACACAGTAAGACTCCTGGGCGGTTCTGCAATCCCAGCCTCATGCCCTTTGCACCCTCCCAAGAGGCTGCCTAGCCTCAGCTTTGGCCCCCACCCAAGAATCCTAGGAGCAAGGCCAGTTCTCCTTTTTTTTTTTTTTCTTTTTTTAAGAGACAGGGTCTCCGCTGGACGCGGTGGCTGACGTCTGTAATCCCAACACTTTGGGAGGCTGAGGCGGGCAGATCACCTGAGGTGGGAGTTCGAGACCAGCCTGACCAACATGGAGAAACCCTGTCTCTACTAAAAATACAAAATTAGTCTGGCATGGTGGCGGTCGCCTGTAATTCCAGCTACTTGGGAGGCTGAGGCAGGAGAATTCCTTGAACCCAGGAGGTGGAGGTTGCGCCAAGATCGCGCCATTGCACTCCAGCCTGGACAACAAGAGCGAAACTCCGTCTCAAAAAAAAAAAAAGAGAGAGAGAGAGAGAGACAGGGTCTCATTCTGTCACCCAGGCTGGAGTGCAGGGGTGCGATCACGCTTCACTGCAGCCTCGAACTCCTGGGCTCAAGCAATCCTCCGGCTTCAGCCTCCCAAAACACTGAGGTTACAGGTACGAGTCACCCACCCGGCCTCATTTTTATTATTTGTAGAGATGGGATGTCACTGGGTTGCCCACGCTCGCCAGGCTGGGCTCCAGCGATCCTCCCTCCTCGGCCTCACTGGCAGCTGGGATGACGGGACCTCCCCGCCTGCTTTTTTGCAACTCCCAGACCCAGAGGCTCCAGAGCAGGCTGAGGAACAGCGGAAATCTGGCTCGGGCCCACACATTCACCAAATACTGACGCAGCACCCTTGACCTCCAGATGCCCCTGTGCTCTCTTCCGCGCAAAGGCTGCGGGGACGGAGGGGTCCTCCAAGGCCACAGGGAGTGAGGTCTCCGCAAAGTGCCCGCGGGCCGGGAGGCAGGTGCGGGGGCCCGGCTCTGACCCTGCGTGCGCGACGGAGCAGGGCAGGGCTGGGCCTGCGGGAGCGCGGCCTTGCGGTCCCCGGGCCTCCTCTCCGGGCGCCCCGGCTCGGCTGCGCCACCTGTAACCCAAGCCCGGGCCCCGGTGTCGGCGGCGGGGTGAGCCGGGGCCGGGGAGGGGGCGCCCGGCAGCGCCCACCAGGTTCCCGCAAGGCCGGGCGCAGCTCGGAGCCGGGAGCCGGCCCAGCGCGTGGCTTCCCGGAAGGCCCCGCGCACCGGAAGGCGGGAGGGAAGGCGGGGCCAGCGCCGGGACGGCCACCGAGGCCTGCGCGACCCTCCCGGGGCCGGGACTGGGGCCGGGGAGCCGGGCAGGGAGCGGGGGGACAGCAGGGCCCGGGTGGCGGGCGCGTCTCCGTCTCCGCGCGCGCCGCAGGCCTTCGCTCCGGTAGGTAAAGGTGAGCCGAGCCGGGGCGGGGCGCCTCCCAGGCCGCGCCCCGCGAAGGGAGGGGGCACACCAAGAGCAGGCCTGGGGCCCGGGAGCGCCTTGAGGAGTCCTCGCCCTGTGGGGAGCCCCTCCCGCTGCCGGGTGGACACTGTTAGTGTAGTCATTGTCCTATGGGGAAACTGAGGCATGGAGAGGCCGAAGTCACACGAGTAAGCATCAGAGCCAGGACTAGAGTCCTGGGCCCTGGCTCGCTGTCACCCAGGAGTGGCGTAGGCGTGGGTGTGGTGGGTGGGGGTGGGGTGCGGATGGTGGACGGGGTGGGAGGGGGTGAGGTTGGGTGAGGTGGTGGGTGGGGTGGGGGATGTGATGGGTGGAAGGTTGGAGAGGGGTGGGGTAGGGGTGGGGCGGGGAATGTGATGGGTAGGGGTGCGGTGGAGTGAGGGTGGCTGGTGGGGCAGGGGCGGGGCTGGGAGTGGGGTGCTGTATATTATAAATGCGAAGCGGATCCTACAGGACGCCTGTGGGGCAGTAGAGCTGGCCGAGCCATTTGGGAAGAAGCTCTGGGCGATAGTTTAGATTTGGTCAGGAAGGGGCGTTAATGATTTAGGAGGTGAGGATAGTTTTGGGGGTGAGAGGTAGTTTGTTGAGCTTTTTTTCTTTGAGACACTCTTGCTCTGTCGCCCAGGCTGGAGTGAAATGGCGCGATCTTGGCTCAGTGCAACCTCTGCCTCCCGGGTTCAAGCGATTCTCCTGCCTCAGCCTCCCGAGCAGCTGGGACTACAGGCGCCCGCCACCGCGCCCGGCTAATTTTTGTACTTTTAGTAGAGACAGGGTTTCGCCATGTTGGCCAGGCAGGTCTCCAAATCCTGACCTCGTGATCCACCTGCCTCAGCCTCCCACAGTGCTGGGATTACAGGTGTGAGCCACCTTGCCCGGCCGATTTTTGTATTTTTTGAGTAGAAACCTGTAGTTCCAGCTACTCGGAAGAATTGCTTGAGGCCTGTTGCCTACCAGCCTAGGCAACATAGGGTGACTGTGCTTCTGGAAAAAAAGAAAGAGAGAGAAAGGGGAAGGGAAGGAGAGGGAGGAAAGGGGAGGGAGGGAGGGAGGGAATAGGAAAAGAAAGAGAGAAAGAAGAAAAAGAAATAGTGATACTTTGAGAGGCTGTCAAGCGACATGTTTATTGGTCAAGTATGTAGGTAAGGTGCATGCTGCCAGGAGGGGCTGCGGCAGAGAAGGCAGGGTCCTGCTGGGTGAGGGTGGGCGCGGGGGCAGCCCCTGCTCAGCCCTGCATTGCTACACAGAATGGCAGGTCCTATGTGGCCTGGTCTTCTGATTTTTCAGGAGAAATCAGGAACTTGAGGTGTATGCGAAATCTTCTGATTTTTAAATATTGGCAACTAATTTGCTTAAAAAAAAAACTATGAGCGAATCAACAAAAGTGTTTACTGGTGGGCTCCACCTGCTGCCTTAGGCTGGGGTATGGAGAGGCAGGAGACCGATGTTGATAAGAGCCAGCGCGCACAGTGGAGTTTCATAAATTCCGCCGGAGAGCTGGAAAGGTGATCGAGACTACTGTGGCTCTTCAGAGGCCTCTCTTCTAATTTATTTTAAAAAGATCAGGGTACTTGGAGGTCAGACGGCTCTCTTCAGAGCTATCCGAAGACTTCCTCTCCTTTATCTCATACAATCTGATCCAAACTCAGAAAGCTAGGCTACTGTCTGCAGGATGGGCCTGTCTCCATCTCTCTGTACCTCCGGGAGCAGCCCGGGTGCCTGTAAGAAACCAGGGCTTCGAGTTGGCATTTGCCTTCCCTGGGGCTTACAGATGGGCTTCCTGTGATCAGGGCCCAGTATATGGACAAATCTGAGTGTAAAATAGGGTGATACATTGGTGGGGGGAGCCACACTCCCACCCACTGAGGTCTGTCCCCATCCTCCCTCCTCACCCACTTCCCTGTCATTTACAGAAAAAGGCAGCCTCGAGGTGGGAGGGGGTGTAGGGTGAGCTTCCCTCCCAATCTGGTGAGCCTGGAGATTTCTGGAAGCTGAGCATTTTGGCAAGGGCTCAGGAGATAGAGTTACTAACCTTTCTTCCCCCACAAAAGCCTGTTAATGCTCTAGCTTCTGAAATGATTATTGCAAAGAAATTAAACCTTGGATGGAGTCAGCCACAGCATCTCTACCCGTGGTGTGGAACTATTGAAACACAGCGACCTCCTCCGCCTGCCCTCACACACGCGGTGATAGCCGCCGGCCTTCCCATTCTGCAGAGCCCTGAGCTTGTGTCTCGGTGAAAGCAGCCTCATTGTCTGAGGTGTCACCGAAGTTCTTGGTCTCATGGCCACGGAAATCAAGGACACAGATTTCCTACCAGAGGGTAGGTTAGAGCAGAAATTTAGTAAGTAAAAGGAAGAAAGTTCTCTAGATCAGAGAGGGGTCCCAGAGAGATGGGCTGCCGTTTTACAGTGAAATGCAGAGGGTTTTATAGACAAGCTCCTGGGAGGGGTGCTTCATTTACAGAAGGCGTGAATTTCTGAGTCCCCACCCCTACCCTTTCTAGTGCACCTGCGGGTTTCTTAGCCTGAGTTATGCCATGTTGCTTATCTCTTCCTACTGAGCACCTATGAAATAGGTAGGAGGTTTTGGGGGCGTGCAGAACACTCCAAGATGGACGTGCCTGGTCCAGGGTAGCTCTTCTTATCAGCGCAAGCCTCTATGTCTGAGTATTTCTTTCTTTTTTTTTTTTGAGATGAAGTCTCACTCTGTCACCCAGGCTGGAGTGCAGTGGCTCGATCTCTGCTCACTGCAACCTCTGCCTCCCAGGTTCAAGTGATTCTCCAGCCTTCCAAGTAGCTGGGATTACAGGCGCCCGCCACCACGCCTGCTAATTTTTGTATTTTTAGTAGAGATGGCGTTTCACCATGTTGAATAGGCTGGTCTCGAACTGCTGACCTCAGACAACCTGCCTGCCTTGGCCTCCCAAAGTGCTGGGATTACAGGTGTGAGCCACTGCGCCCGGCCTGAGTATTTCTAAGAAGGGAGAGGACTGTGCTTACTGGGGCCCACTGTATGTCTGTATGTCACACAGGGGACGCCTTTGTCTGTTAGAGCTTTCCTTCTTTATCTGTGTTTCTTAAAGGAAAATGACCTCGTAGGCTGCTTTTTGTTAGAAGGGAATTCTGCTTAAGGACCCTTGCCCTAACTCTTTGCCTAATTGATTTCTCTCTCTCCTCTCACATTGATGCCGGCCTGGCTGGGCCAGCTGGAGTTGGAAGTTGCATTTTTGCATCTCTTTAGCCTCTGTAGATTTTCATTTAGAGTTATTCCGAGCAGGTTGGAAGCTAGGTTTTTTTTGGGGGGGGAGGGGTAACCAGTAGAGCTAAAGTGGTTTTGTATGTTTCCTGCCTTCCTTCCTTCCTCTTCTACATGCATTTTCTTGCTGTCCATAAACTGTTTTGAGAGTGCAGACCCAAAGCACCACTCCTAAAACTGCAGACAACCTATTTTGGGAGTGGTGTCGGGCACTGGCCTGGAAGCCAGCCTTGCGGATGAAGCATGGCAGAGCTCAGGGTCTTCACACTCTGGGAAAGGGAGCTTCCTTGCAGCCTCCAGAGAGGCCTTCCTGAGACCCGGGCGGTGCCTTTCTTTTTCCAATATAATTGACAGATGAAAAGCTGGATAGAAACCAGAACTAAGGTCAAAGGTGATTAGATATTTTACAGCAGGATTTTGAGCTTTTTCTAAGATTTTGCTGGAAAATGATTTCCTTTGGTTGCCTTAATATGTACTTGAAATATATCTCATTTTATGCTAGGCATGGTGACTCACGCCTGTAATCCCAGCACTTTGAGAGGCCAAGGCAGGCGGATCACCTGAGGCCAGGAGTTTGAGACCAGCCTGGCCAACATGGCAAAACCCTGTCTCTACTAAAAGTACAAAAGCTAGTCGAGTGTGGTGGTGCATGCCTGTAATCCCAGCTACTCAGGAGACTGAGGCAGGGGAATTGCTTGAATCGGTTTTGGTAAGCTGAGATCTCCCCATTGCACTCCAGCCTCGGCAACAGAGCAGGCTGTGTCTCAAAAAATAAAAAGTATCTATTTATCTCTCTCTCTGTCTCTCTCTCTCTCTCTCTCTCTCTCTGTGTGTGTGTGTGTGTGTGTGTGTGTGTGTGTGTGTGTGTGTGTGTACGTCTATCTATCTGGCTATGTATCTATCTCATTTTATTTGTGTGTGTAGCTTTTCAGGACCATGGTGACTGGATAAATCAGGTTCTGCCCTCTGTCTCCCCATTTCTGGTGGCTTCTGCTTATTCAGTGCTGATGCTGTGATAACGCCATTTTATTGTTTAGACATTTGTTGTAAACAAATCTTGACCACTGGAATAGTGGAAGGGGTTCTCTTCCAGGGAGAAGGAGAAGGTATTCAGCCTGTCTGAGCAAAGGGGCTGGGCAGAGCTGGGAAACTAGGAGGGGTTTTGGGTTTTGGGAGACCCAGGGCACAGGGTAGCCAGAGCAGGGACTCACAGGTCCAAATTCCCCTCCAGTCCCTTATAAGAGCAGGGCTTACGAGGCCATCCCTCCCACTGCTTCTCATACTCCAGGGGCCCAAAAAGACATTTCTAGAGGTGCTTGTTTGCTTTCTGAATTTGAAGACAGTAACGAATGTCTGAGTCCTGGGTTATGGCCTCTTGGGGTCTTGCTGCCCAAAGTGAGTTCAGAGGAGCACTTTGGGGGCTTATTGGAAATGCAGAATCCTACCCTCCCATGCTGGTTGTCTCTTACAAGGTTTCCAGTGATTCCCATGCTCTTGTGGAGAATCACAGATCTAACGTGTGCCAAAGGGGAAAGAGAAGGGAAAGGTACAGGGGCAGGAATGGAGGGTGCTCTCCTGGGATTGCAGAGAAGTTCTGAGAACCTGACTCTGTGGTCATCTCGTGGATTCATGGGTTTGTTCTCTGGGCTCAGAAGTATACCCCAGGATTGGGAGAGCAATTTCCCATTAGGGACTTCTGCTTCTGGATCATCCCTGGGTCAGAAAGGCACACATGGCTGGCTGCGGTGGCCCACGCCTATAATCCCGGCGGTCTGGGAGGCTGAGGCAGGATTGCTTGAGCTCAGGAGGTCAAGACCAGCCTGGGTAACATTGCGAGATCCTGTCTCTACAAAACGAAAAGTTAGCTGTGCGTGGTGTTGCATGCCTGTAGCTCCAGCTACTTAGAAGGCGGAGGCGGGAGAATCACTGTAACCCAGGAGTTCACGGCTGCAGTGACTATGTCGCACCACTGCACTCCAGCTTGGGCAACATCAAGATACTATCTCTTTAAAAAAAGAAAACCAAACCAAACCAAATGTAGTGGCTCACACCTGTAATTCTAATGCTTTGAGAGGCTAAGGCAGAAGGATCTTTTAAGCCCAGGAGTTCAGGACCAGCCTGGGCAACGTAGGAGTTATCTCTACTAAAAGTAAAAATAAAATTGACTGGGAGTGGTGACACACACCTGTTGTCCCATCTATTCAGGAGGCTGAGGTGGGAGGATTGCTTGAGCCCAGGAGGTGGAGGCTGCAAGGAGCTGTGATCGTGCCACTGCACTCCAGCCTGGGCAACAGAGCAAGATCCCATCTCAAAAAAAAAAAAAAAAAGATATTAAGCAATAGAACCTATACAAAACTTCTTTAGTCGAGTTGCTCTAGCAGCTGTGTTGGTATGTCCACCTAGAATGAATGGGAAGTGCTGCTGGAGCTGGAGGTCCGAGGAGACCCACCACCTCGTGGCCCCTTTGATTGCCCCAGCCCTTGTGTTCTCCAGAGCCTGCCACTCCCAGTCCTGGCTCCAGCGTGGCACACGTTTTCCCGACCCCAGAGAATTGTGCTAAAGGTCATGTGCCAGAGGTCTACTCGTCCGTCTATCTATCTATCTATCCATAAATGTTGCAAAGCCTGGGAGTGCTTTCATGTATTTTATTCTCTGGTTGCTTCATCTCATCCCCATGGGTACAGTTGTGTTGACTTTTTTTTTTTTTTTTTTTGAGACGGAGTTTCGCTCTTGTTGCCCAGGCTGGAGTGCAATGGCGCGATCTCGGCTCACCGCAACCTCCGCCTCCTGGGTTCAGGCAATTCTCCTGCCTCAGCCTCCCGAGTAGCCAGGACTACAGGCACGCGCCACCATGCCCAGCTAATTTTTTGTATTTTTAGTAGAGACGGGGTTTCACCATGTTGACCAGGATGGTCTCGATCTCTTGACCTCGTGATCCACCCGCCTCGGCCTCCCAAAGTGGTGTTGACTTTTAAGAGCAGTTGCTAAGGCTGCCCATGGTGCGTATTAGGAACAGAAGGTAACAGTGTTCGTTCAGAGACATCCTGGGTCCAGAGCCTCCAGGCTTCTGCCAGGTACTTCCTACCCATCCTGCTGGCACTGTCCCAGAGTGGAGCCTGTAGGGGCTGTCTCTGTCTTAGAAGGGAGGTATCTGACCCTCTGCTCAGGGCCCACCACAGGCCGGCGCCCATGTGGTCACAGAGTCCCGTCCCTTCCCTGGCTCTGGCTTGCAATCAGCTCAGATACCCACTCATGCCAATACGTCCCGGTTTCTGCTGGGCTTTATGTGCAGGGCATTCCCCGGGCCAGTGCAAAGGCCGCTGATGCCAGAGGGGTAAGACTGCCTCCCTCGTGATGAACTGGCAGAACATGTGGCCGGGTTGCTCCTTAATCTGTCGTAAGTCAGAAGTTAATCAGAAGGCAAAGAAGACCTTTCATCCACTTAGCTGCTGCTGTTTCCTTATTCACTAACTGCTGCCTGCTTGCTCTGTGGGAACTTTCCACCGCCTGGATGCTGTCTGTCATGCAGGCACTTAGAGCTGCTGCGCTCTCCTGAAAAGGGGGACCCTTCCTTGAAACTCTAGGAACTAGAGAGGCATTGGGATGGAAATACTCTTACGCTCCTTAAAACTGTCCCTCTGAACTTCTCCCTCGAAGGCCAGCAACGATGACCATCATGGTGGAGGACATCATGAAGCTGCTGTGCTCCCTTTCCGGGGAGAGGAAGATGAAGGCGGCAGTCAAGCACTCCGGGAAGGGTGCCCTGGTCACAGGGGCCGTGGCCTTCGTCGGGGGTTTGGTGGGTGGCCCACCGGGACTTGCCGTTGGTAAGTGCAAGTGTCTCACAGAGACAGCCAGCCTCAGGGGTGTTATAAAAGGGCCATTGAAACACAGGGAGAAGGCCGGGCGCGGGGGCTCAAGCCTATAATCCCAGCACATTGGGAGGCCGAGGTGGGCGGGTCACCTGAGGTCAGGAGTTCAAGACCAGCCTGGCAAAACCCCGTTTCTACTAAAAATATAAAAAAAATAGCTGGGTGTGGTGGCAGGTGCCTGTACTCCTGGCTACTCACGGGGCTGAGCTGGGAGACTTGCTTGAACCCAGGAGGCAGAAGTTGCAGTGAGCCAAGATCATGCCATTGCACTCCAGCCTGGATGACAGAGCGAGACTCTATCTCAGCAAAAAAAAAAAAAAAAAAAACCACAGGGAGAAATGAGTTCGTACAAGTGGTGCCCTCTGTCTCGTGGGAGGAGTTGGTGGAGTTAAGGTTGCCTCTGGGAAATGATCTTTGCAGATGTAATTTGTCCTGTTGGAAATACAAGCTTATGAGTGTGAATGTCTCAGAAGTGTGGTGCACTCTTGAAAATGGCATCTGTGCCATTTGGGCCTGGAGGTGCCCTTCTCCCAGTGCTGGGATCGCAGAACAAGTGTTAGAGTGACAGACCTTTGAAGATACCAGGGTGTCCTGGGCCCCATGGTGGCCTCCCTCACCCCATCATGACTACAAGGTCCCTGCTCCTACTCAGCACATGCCGTGTGGCCATTTCACATGAGCCGGCTCATTCTGAGAGAGCTCCCCTGTTCTGAAAGAGACCACCAAAAGAACTGCCTTTCACCCCTAGAGGGTCTGCCCTCTCCTTTGCCACCTGCTTTTTTTTTTTTTTTTTTTTTTTTTTTTGAGACGGTTTCGCTCTGTCGCCCAGACTGGAGTGCAGTGGCGTGATCTTAGCTCGTGTAACCTCCGCCTCCTGGCCTCAAGTGATCCTCCTGCCTCAGCCTCCCAAAGTGCTGAGATTACAGGCTTGAGCCACTGTACCTGGCCATTTACCACCTGGTTCTATTAGAGAGTCAATTGCTGGCAGTGAATGAAAGCTTGGCTAATTTTTCCACTGTTCCTTGGAGCGAGGATGAAGTTACTTCCTTTGGCTTGGGGCAGGAAGAGTTCCTGTGTCCTGAACCTCAGAAGGTCTACCTGGCCTGAGGCTGTGGCCCAAACCATAGCCCAGGATGGAGTGAGGGAGTTGGCTGGCCGTCAGACCTGTCGGGGTGGCTGTGGGGACCTGCCGTACGGTTTAGCAGGGGTTCTTAAGATGACCGTGCATTTGTTGTGTCAGGCTTGGCAGGTATTTGCCACATGGCTGCTCTGTGCTGGCCAACCTGAGCTGGGGGCGTGGGGCCTGGAGAGCTCACTGTCTGGTGGAGATCCCTTCTGTGTGGCGTGCAGTGTCCATGCTCACAGGCGGGACAGAGAAGTGCTTTTCTGCTGAGGTTGGCTTCTGTTCCCCAGCTCACTGGCCGGGTTCCTGCCTTGTTCTTCCGTTCTGTGGTGGAACTGACATTCAAGGACATTTCATTAAGCTGAGGCTCACATCGGGGAGAAAAATAAATGTGTGGGTGGCCCCAGAGCTGCCCTCACCGTATTTTCCTTTCCAGACTCCATGAATTAGTGAGGCCTGACTTGAGCTTCTTGCCATCCGGGAAGGAAGCGGAGAGGCGGGAGACAAGGCCATTTCCTTCTTCCGCAATGACACTCCGCATCTGTGCCCCCACCTCCATCTGAGTGCTCAGGGGAAGGCTTCGGGATCATTTTATCATAGAGCTGTGCCCAGATGCTATTTTGGGAGCACATATTTTATTCAGATTGAGTAAAAGCTGGTGGAGAACAGGATGTCCACAAAGAGAGCCCAGGGGATTCACTACTTCCAGCCCCTGGTCACGGGGTGGGAGCATCGTTTTACCCTGAAAACAAAGGAATTTTCTCCTCTCCAAAGAGCCAGTAATTTGCTGGTCGATATTCCTGGCGACTTTTTGCATTAAGTGCTGCTCTAAATCAAATATTGATGTTCTCATAAAGGTTTAGTGCACATGAGTGCAACTCTTGTCAACTCTGAGCATTTCACTGGTGTCATGGGGAAAAGTTCAGTAAAACTTGTAAATTAGCTGGTTTTCCCTCGCCAGAATTCGCCTTTCTTTTGCAGAGGAAGTGAAACTTGTCTGCATGCAGCATTCAGCCTCTGGGATATGAGGCTGGCCCCAGCTTAGTGCCCGGGGAGGTGTCTGCTGCAGGGGCCTCAGCGCTTGGCTTCCCGAAGAGGCCAGTGCTGGCTCTGCTGCCTGTCCTCTGAGTCCAGCCTGCCAGTGGGTTCTGCGTGGCCTGGGCTGCATTTTTGAAAGCAACTTTTCATTTCACAGTAATACTAGGTTTACAGAGAAGTCACGAAGATAGTACAAAGGATTCCCATGTGTCCTCCATCCAGTTTCAGTTCCGCTAGCGTTCACATGTATCCCTGTACAATTGTCAGAACTAAAACCAGCCGGGGGCAGTGGCCCACGCCTCCATAGTCTCAGCACTTTGGGAGGCTTGAGGCAGAAAGATCGCTTAAGCCCAGCAGTTCGAGACCAGACTGGGCAACATAATGAGACCTCGTCTCTACAAAAAAATTTAAAAAAAAATGAGCCAGGCATGGGTGCCGTACGCCTGTAATCCCAGCTACGTGGGAAGCCAAGGTGGGAAGATTGCTTGAGCCTAGGAGTTTGAGGCTGCAATGAGGTATGATCACACCACTGCACTCTAGCCTGGGTGACAGAGTGAGATTCTGTCTAAGAAAAGAAAATCTAAGAAATCAACGCTAACCAATACGTGACTATCAACCACTCTCCAGACTCGATTTGGGTTTCTGCAGTTTGTGCATGAATGGCCTTGTTTTGGCTCCAGGATCCAGGCTAACATGCTGCATTGCACCGAATCGCCTGCTTCTTAGTCTCCTCCGGCCTTTCACACTTTCTTGGACTTTCCTTGTTCACAACCTTGCTAGTTTTGAGGAGTACTGAGTAGTATTTCGTAGAACATCTCTCAGTTTGAATTTGCCTGAGGTGTTTAGGATGGGACTGGAGTTAGGAGTCTTTGGAAGGCATGCCTGGGAGGTGACGTGCCCCTCTCCCTTCTCTCGCATTAATTCCGGGGGGTATGTGACATTCACACCATCGTCAGTGATGTTGACCTTGAACACCTCCTTAAGGGCGTTCGCTGGGTTTTTCTGTTGTAAAGTTTCTGTCTCTCTTTCCGTACTCTGTCTGTTGAAAGTGAGTCCCTAAATCTAGCGGGCTTCATCTTTAAATATCTGATTGGTGATATTTAAAACTTGTGAGACGTTTTAAAGCTGCAAACCTGGTATTTTGTGTGGTAGCAATGAACTGGCGTGAAGTAGCCACTGCCCCTTCATAGGAACCAGGCCGTCCAGGTCTTCTGTGTCCTGGGCCTCCGAAGGTCCATGCAGTTTAAGGCTTGGCCTAGACCATAGGCCGGGATGAAGTCACAGCTTGCCACCCACCTGACCTCAGCAGGGGAGGGGCCAGGTAAGGCCCACCGGCCCTTCACTCCTCTCAATTCCTGCCTGGCTCTTGGAGGCCCTTGACTTTGAGACCCCTTCCCGAGGGCACCTTCCCTTCGTCTGCACCATATCCTGCACGTGGCCCCTTCAGGTAGAACTTTCCATGGACACATGAGTCGCAGAATAGCATGACCTAACCTTGGTAATGAGTTTACATTTAAAAATAGTGTTTCTGCCCTTTCAGGGTGGCAGAAGGAGAAACAGTAAACTACCTTAAATTTGTTATTTATCACCGCACGACTTGGAGGCGTTATAGGAAAAGCACTGCTTCAACAGGAAACAGCCTCCTTATCTGTCCCCAGGTCCTTTAACTGCTGAGATTTCATTAAGTTCAGGGGCAAGAAGCATATCAGCTGCCCGGTGGAGGAAATTCAGTCACACCACTGAGATGATTTTTTTTGGAGACAGTCTTGCTCTGTTGCCCAGGCTGGAGTGCAGCGGTGTGACCTCGGCTCATTGCAGCCTCTACCTCCCAGGCTCAAATGATTCTCCCTCCTCAGCCTCCTGAGTAGCTGGGATTGCAGGCGTGCACCACCATGCCTGGCTGATTTTTGTATTTTTGTAGAGGCAGGGTTTCACATGTTGGCCAGGCTGGTGTTGAACTCCTGACCTCAAGTGATCCACTTGCCTTGGCCTCACAAAGTGTTGGTGTTACAGGCGTGAGCCACCGCACCCAGCCTGAGGTGGTTTCTTTTGAAAATGCATCTGTGGCTAGGCACGGTGGCTCATGCCTATAATCCCAACACTTTGGGAGGCCGAGGTAGGTAGATCACCTGAGGTCAGGAGTTCAAGACCAGCCTGGCCAACATGGTGAAACCCTGTCTCTACAAAAATACAGAAACAGCCGGGCATGGTGGCACATGCCTGTAATCCCAGCTACTCAGGAGGTTGAGGTGGGAGAGTCGCTTGAACCTGGGAAGTGGAGGTTGCAGTGAGCTGAGATCATGCCATTGCACTCCAGCCTAGGCAACAGAGCAAGACTCCATCTCAAAAAAAAAAAAAAAAGAAAAGAAAAGAAAATGCATTTGTTTCTCAGCCTTCTCCTTTGTGATGAGAGGGATTTTTACAGTAAGCGCAGGAACCTCCATCAGCCCTTGAAGATCTTAGTGGGTCCAGCCCTGAGGAGGGAGATGGAGCAGGCTTCATTTTGCATCCCTACATGTGGAGCTTAGGGAATGTGTGTTGGGTGTCAATTATCTGAGCCGAACGGACAGAAGAACGCCTAAACCTTTGCCCTCCACACTCCCTAGTGGAGCAGGCATGGCACGGAGCCCGCTCTGGCCCACTCATGAATGCGCCTGCTCATGGCGCCGGCGGTGTGCACTCAGTGGGAACTTAAGTAAGGCCATCGCTTATGAATAAGACCCCACTAATTGAATGCTTCCTTATTTTCTAGGGGGTGCTGTCGGGGGGCTGTTAGGTGCCTGGATGACAAGTGGGCAGTTTAAGCCAGTTCCTCAGATCATAATGGAGCTGCCCCCTGCCGAGCAGCAGAGGCTCTTTAACGAAGCCACAGCCATTATCAGGCACCTGGAGTGGACGGACGCCGTGCAGCTGACCGCACTGGTCATGGGCAGTGAGGCCCTGCAGCAGCAGCTGCTGGCCATGCTGGTGAACTACGTCACTAAGGAGCTGCGGGCCGAGATCCAGTACGACGACTAGGCCGCACCTCCGGGGAGGTGGGGGACTCTTTAGATGACTCTGTGACACTGAAGAGGTGGCTTGGGAGCTGGGAGAAGCCCAGTGGATGCCCCTGGGGAACCTCCACATCATCAGTGTACTGCTAGCAACGTCCTGCTGGAGAGGCGACCTCCATGCAGTGTCACGTTCCAGAAATTACTTATGAAGAAGCATGTGCCGGCGTCGTGTGCACCGACGTGCCATGACAGCCCTCTGACCCGCCCTCCAGTGAAGAGGAAAGGCCTGCCTGCCGCAGGTTTCAGTGGCATCTACTGAATCCTCTCACCCGCGTGGGTCTGGGGAAATGAATCCTGCTCAGCCAATGGTCTGACCACGCCTCATCCTCCCCCGGGGGCCTTCTCATCTTGGGAGATGACTCCTCTTCCAAACACCTCCTGCAGGACTGGAGGCCGCCCCTCTGCAGGCCCTGGGGTCTCGGAGCCTTGGAGCGGCCCTTGCTGGAATCACGTTTACCTCTTAGTGCAGCCCTCCCCTAACCAGGGACCGCCAAACAGCCCCATGGAGGGGAGAGGCGGCCTGCTGAGTGAAGCCTCAAGCACCAAGTGGACTTGACCCCCCAGTGGACTTGACCCCAGCCCCCACTAGCTGCACACCTAGACTCGCCCTCCCAGGGCCTCGCTCTTCCCATCTGAAAAGTCACAGTAGTACTTGAGGTTTACTTCTCAAATGAAATATTCGTAGCAAAAAGATCAGGCATACCTCAGAGATAATGCGCAGTAGCATTATGTCTAAAAAAATGTACAAACCTTAATTTAAAAATATTTATTGTTCAAAATGCTGACAGAGACACAAAGTGGGCACCTGCTGTTGGAAACATGGTGCCAATCGACTTGCCTGATGCAGGGCTGCTACAAACCTTCCGTTTTTGAAAAAGCACAGTATCTGCAAAGCATAGTAGAGACAGGTATGCCTGAATTGCTCCTGCTGAAGTGGTGTGATATAAAGCATCTCTAAGGAATTTTTCCACCCTCAAGATTTCCCCAGTACAGTCAGCTCTCTGTAACCGTGGGTTCCACATTTGGATCCAACCAGCCTTGGATAGAAAATATTTGGGAAAAAAAATGCATCTGTACTGAACACGTACAGACCTTTTTTTTCTTGCGCTTATTCCTTAAACAATATGGTATAGCATATTTACATAGCATTTATAGTGTATTTGGTATTATGAGTAATCTAGAGATGATTTAAATTATGCAGGAAGGTGTGTGTAGGTTAAATGCAAACACTCTGCCAGTGCCTATCAGGCACTTGAGCGTCCTCAGATTTTGTGTCTGAGGGTTGGGGGTGCAGTCCTGAAGCCCGTCCCCCGTGGATACTGAGGCATAGCTGTACTGTGTGTTTTCACTTTGCTTTCAGAACTACAACTGCAGTGCGATTGATTACAATAAATGTTTTTCTAAAAAGTCATTTTCCCACATATTTTGTGTAAAGTATCTCTAACACTCAGAATCTTACAAATGGAACAAGAGGGGAAGTACCAGATTTGTGGCTTTAAAGAATCCAAGAGTGGGCCAGGCGAGGTGGCTCATGCTTGTAATCCTAGCGCTTTGGGAGGCCAAAGTGGGAGGATCGCTTGAGGCTAAGCGTTTGAGACTAACCTGGGCAACATCGGGAGACCTCCATCTCTACAAAAAATGTAATTTATTGATCCCCAGCTCCTGGGGCAGGGCAAGGACTTGGGACTCTCCTCTCAGCCCCTGGGGGCTCGGAGGGAGGCACTTGTGCCGAGCCTCCTTAGAGGAAAGCTCAGTATCCCAGCGCCTCCGTGTGTGTAAGGACCTCAGTGTGAATTATAACCCATGGTGATTAAGGTAGGGCTGAGCCTTTCTCTTGCAGAGCGACTGCTCTTCGGCTGGCCTCGTCTTGCACAAATCAGGTGCCCTAACACAGGCCACACTCCTGGAGTTAATGAAGCCGCCTTAATCATTTAGGTGCCATTTGAGTTGATGGGGGACAGGGCAGGGGTGGGAAGGAGAGGTTGTCTGTGAAAACTGAGGGTGGCCTTTCTTGATGAACTGATCATTCTTGCTCTTCCTGCAAATAAGTCCTTCATACCATCCCTGGATCTAAAAACGGAAAATCAGGGCATACCCACCTCCCAGTTTGCTGTAAGCTTTAGTGGGCTCTAAAGTTGCCCTGTTTCGTGTAAAGGAAAGAACATTGATTTGTGGACAGCATGAGAATGAGATGTTTGGGTTCAGTGCTTCAAAGTTGGGAGACACTTTTTCCATGTTAAAACAAATGCCACCTTCTCCAGCTGCTTAAAGCAAATCCCCCTGGAACAATCAGGGCTGAAATCGACCCCCCTCATTTCTACTCGTGCCTCAGGTCCCAGTCTGTGTCAGGTCTAAGGGACATGGGTGGTCCCGGCTCAGAGGCCCCATGTCCACTGCAGCCCCTCCCACAGCCTGCCCACCCCTCCCACAGGGAAAAACACACAGGGAACTGATGGTCCAACTCCTGACCAGTTTTGTGTCTGATGGGGCAGGCCTTGCTGAGTGAAGATGCTGAGACTACTGGGTCCTGGGGTGACTCGGAGGCTTTGGGTCCAAGAGGGCAGCCTGAACCCGAAGTCTCATCTCCCCCAGGAGCTGAAAACACTGTTCTTGATTTCTCCCAGGAAATCAAGCTTCTGCTTCTCAGCTCCTGTGGTTTTAGTATTTATATATCTATATCTTCTTTGTAGAAATTTATTTATTTTTGAATAAGTAATACCTGTCTGGTACAAAATTTCAAAGGTGCAGAAATTAAGAGAAGGCCTCCTCCCCATGCTGACCCCAGAGGCAGCCACTGTTACCAATTTCACGTGTATTCCTTTAAGTGTTTTGAAATAAGTCTCTGAAATCTGCTCATTTCCTTCTGTCAATATTCCTTGCTGAAAACCAAGAGAAACTCAGAAAGAATAATGACATGAAAACCACAAATTTCACCACCCAGAAAACTGCTGGTAACACATTTGGTGTCTTTCCTGCAATTGTTTTAATGCTATGTATGTATGTTTCTAATGTACTCGCCTTCCTATCCTGTATACTCCTTGGAATACCTTTATCAATGAAGGTTAAATAACATTTGTGATGTAATTTAAAATTCCTCGTAAATATTTTTAATGTCTGCATAATATTCCACTGTGTCTAACCATGTCCCTGGTGTTGTTTCCTTTTGTGGAAATGCTGAAGTATTATGGTAATACTGTGTTAATAGTCTCTTTATTGCATGCTGGTATATAGTCTTTAGGATTCATTCCTCAAAGTGAAATTGCTGGATTTAAAAGTATACAGCATTTTTTTTTTTTTTTTTGAGATGGAGTCTTGCTCTGTCGCCCAGGCTGGAGTGCAGTGGCACAATCTCAGCTCACTGCAAACTCTGCCTCCTGGGTTCAAGTAATTCTCTTGCCTCAGCCTTCTGAGAACCTGGGATTACAGGTGCCTGCCACCACGCCTGGTTAATTTATGTATTTTTTAGTAGAGATGGGGTTTCACCATGTTGGCCAGGCCGGTCTCAAACTCCTGACTTCAAGTGATCCACCTACCTCGGCCTCCCAAACTGCTGGAATCATGGGCGTGAGCCACCACACCCTGCCAAGTATGCAACATTTTTTTAAGATGGTTGATCTATTAGGTCAGAATCCTTTCTGGAGAGGCGGTATCATTAACTTACTCTCCCAGCAAGGGGGCACATATCTCATTGCATCCCCACCAAGAAGCAGAGTGCTAGTGTCTTGTGCCTTGATTAATTTCATGGGTGACTGCTGACATCTGGTTTGATTCATTTTCCTTTGATTATGAATGGAGTTGATTGATCTGTAGCTTGGCTGTCTCTCAGTGAAAGACAGCTGGAGGTAATCCCCTAGGTGACTGCCTGCTCAGGGGTGTTGGGACCCCCACCCCAGTTCCCTGTGGCTGATCCAGCTGGGAGGGTGAGCAGGGAGCCAGCTACATGTGGCTGGCGGGGCAGCTGGGTGGCGGGGTGTCTGGGTGGCCAGGTAGCATGGCATCTAGGTGGCTGAGTGGCAGGGTGTCTGGGTGTCCAGGTGGTAGCATGTCCAGGTAGCAAGGTGTCTGGGCGGTGGGACAACAGGGTGTCTGGGTAGTGGGGCGACAGAGTGTCTGGGCTGCGGGGTGTCTGTATGTCTGGGTGGTAGGGTGTCCTGGTGGTGGGGTCTCTGGGTGTCTTGGTGTCTGGGGGGCAGGGTATCTAGGTGGTGGGGTGGCTGAGTGCTCAGGTGTCGAAGTGGCTGAGCTGCAGGGTGTCCAGGTGTCCAGGTGGTGGAGTGTCCAGGTGTCTGGGTGTCTGGGTATCTGAGTGGCAGGGTGTCTAGATGGTGGGGTGGCCGAGTATCCAGGTATCCAAGTGACTGAATGGCAGGGTGTTGAGGTGGCTGGGTGTCCGGGTGGCAGGGTGTTATGTTTCTGGATGTGAGGTGTCTAGGTATCTGGGTGTCTGGGTGTCGGGTGTCGGGTGTCAGGTGTCTG